CACCATTTTCACTGTCATAGCTCAATGTTATGAAATCATGGGAGTTGTGGTTTGGTCAGTTTCCACCACTATTTGGTAGAGAAGACTAAAGGCTTTGTAAAACTGCCACTACTATAAATCCTTAGTATTGAGCCATAGCAGTTGAAGTGTAAACTACAGTGTTGTGTGAAAAGAAGGATACTGTGCTCTACGATTGAAAATGGGTCTAAGGCAACTTGTTCTTCAGCTATAGTGCTAAGATGTTGTTATGGCATCTCTGCATCATCTGATGCATAGAAACTGAGCTATACATCAGTCTTACTTCAGAATCATACCTCACTTCTTTTATGGAGCCACTTGATGCTTGGAGAGCCTTTCCCCTTCACTTCGCTATCTTCAGATTTTATATCACTACCATCACCATGACATAGTGTTCAACATTGTCTGCAGTCACAAACTGTCTTTAGCCTGTAGTTATCCATTATTGTAGTTATGCATCATATACACCTTTTAATTGCCTGTAGTTATCCATCATATACACCTTTTAATTGCCAGCATTAAGAATCTTATAGTATTTATATGTTCAATGCAACAATGAAAACATGGTCTTCCCATTGGGTGAGTAACAAGAACACCTGGGATGTCAAGGTTTAATGTCTTAAGCCGAGTTGAAAATTATATGGCTTTCTAAATACTGTTGTACTACAATTCCAGCTTTCCTTGTCATTATTATGAGTAGGGCTCCAGTCCAATAACCTGTGAGGAGCTGCATTATTCCCATCCTTGGTGTATGGTATTCCATTTCCAAAGCTCCACTTCAGAAGATGAGGAAGTGCATGATCCATATATTTCAATGTACCCAGAATTGTCCCATTATCACCCCTCAGATCTCATCAGTTTATTGACAAATTAAAATCCAGGATTAACTCTGAATTCTTGGTGCTTGAATTGCTTTGAGCCCAAATAAATGATTTACTGTAGTGCTCTTACCCATTCTTTACTTTGGAAGTAAAGAAAAATCTTGACTTAATAGATGTTTTGTTTTAAAGGAATCTGTGCTCCTTAGATATGTTTTGTTCTGTTTTATTAGTGAGTTAAAGCTTATTAGCATGCTTAACTGCATAGTACGTTTCATACTAGCTAATGATTTGTCTTTAAGAGACAACTACTTTCTTTGCATATTTTACAAGTGTATTTTGACTTCTTACTAATAGTCAGAAACCACAATTCTGGAAACCAGATTTCATAGATTTGTTACCGTGTAATTTTAGTATTTTGCAGTATTTTGTAACAATTACAATGTACAAAGATCCTGCTGTTTTATTATAAAAATGTTCTTTGTGTATTTTAAATATAGTCATAAGTGAATATTGTAGAATTCGTTAGTGAAGCAGAAGTTGGAAATAGTGTGTTCCCTCAAAATCATATTACAAAAAGGGTTTTTCATTGCTTAATATAATATCTAAACTTAAGATGTACCATTAATCAACTGAATGAGCTTCTGTTTCTTCTCTCACACAGTATTTGGACATCAAGGTATTATAAATAAAATCTTCTGTTATTTGTGTTAATAATTTATGTCTAAATGCTACTGAAAAAGTCATCTTGACCAAATTTTAAAAATCATCACTTTTGTTACCTTCACCTATATTTCTATATGAAACCACACAAGAGTTTCTATTGGATAGCTAAAGTGTTTTTTGTATTGTGAGTAATTACTAGTTTCCTTTTATTTGATAAGTTTTCTTAGACCCCATGAGGTAAAGATGCTATATGTCAGTTGAGTATACATGGGGGAAAACTGTCATGTCATTTGAACAACCTCAGTAAGCTATACCAGAAAAAAAATGAAACAACACAACTCATTTAAAACAGTGACTTTCAGTTAGCTTTAGAAGATATTAGTTTTGAAAGCAGAAATATGGATAGGAAAAACAAAGTTCATAATTGAAATTTACATTACAGCTGCCTCTTAAAACCATTGACCTAAACTGAGTGCTTCTACATCAGTGTGGGCAACTGTGAAATGCAAAGTCTTCCCCACTCCCTTCAACAGATCTATGAGGGCCACAAACCCTACAGCATGTGCCAAAGAATCCCACAAATTTTGCCATCTCCAAATGACATACAGGTGTTTTGCTTATCTGTTTTGGGTCTTTCTGGATCATTTTAGGGCATTTTAACCCCAGGAAGTGAGAAAAATACATTCTGAGTAGAAATATGGTGGACTTCCCCAACTTAAGGGTCTATAGCAGGGGTCCTCAAACTTTTTAAACCGGGGGCCAGTTTACTGTCCCTCAGACCGATGGAGGGCCGGACTATAGTTTTTTTTTTAAAAAAAAATCAATTAAAAAATTCCTCTGCACATTGCACCTATCTTATTTTGCTGTGTGGAAGGGCCCTTAGAGGGAGGGGGTTCTTTCTAGCCCTCTTTAGGCAGTAATTCCAGGAGCAGAGAATGGGAAATCTTCCTATTTCTAGTCTGACCAAAAATCTGGCTACCAGTATTTAAAAAACTCTAAAATTATAACTGTAAATAAAGAACAACACTCAAACACAGGGGAACTCCAGACAAGAAACAATCAGGGCCAGCTAATCATCTCTCAACAAAGGATTCTCCCTAAAAACTGTCAGGCTATGAAATGGCAATCAAGGTGGCCAATTGAAACATTCATACCTACCTCCAACAGACAAGAGTTCTTTCTCCCACCCTGGATATTCCACAATTTTCCTGGTTAAAGGTTTTCCTCTGACATGAAGTCCAGTCGTGTCTGACTCTGTGGTGCTCATCTACATTTCTAAGTCGAAGAGCCGGCGTTGTCCATAGACACCTCCAAGGTCATGTGGCCAGCATGACTGCATGTAGCACCGGGGCAGCCTCCCATGGCTGGCTCACGCTGTCCATCAGGCCTGACGGATAGCGTGAGCCTGCCAAGGGAGGAGCAGGCCTGCGCAGCCTACTTGTGAGTAAAGCGCCCGCGCGGCCTACTTGCGAGTAGACCACGCGGAGCAGCCTCCCTTGGCTGGCTCACGCTGTCCGTCAGGCCCAATGGACAGCGTGAGCCTGCCAAGGGAGGAGCAGGCCCGCGCGGCCTACTTGTGAGTAAAGCACTTCGCGAGGTGCTTTACTCGCGAGTAGACCACGCGGAGCAGCCTCCCTTGGCTGGCTCACGCTGTCCATCAGGCCTGATAGATAGCATGAGCCTGCCAAGGGGGGGAGCAGGCCCGCGCGGCCTACTTGCGAGTAGACCACGCGGAGCAGCCTCCCTTGGCTGGCTCACGCTGTCCGTCAGGCCCAATGGACAGCGTGAGCCTGCCAAGGGAGGAGCAGGCCCGCGCGGCCTACTTGTGAGTAAAGCACTTCGCGAGGTGCTTTACTCGTGAGTAGACCATGCGGAGCAGCCTCCCTTGGCTGGCTCACGCTGTCCATCGGGCCCCATGGACAGCGTGAGCCAGCCAACGGAGGGGCACTGTGTGGGGGGGGGGCGCTCCTCCTCCGCGGGCCGGATCAGGGCCCTTGGCGGGCCGGAAGTGGCCCGCGGGCCGTAGTTTGGGGACCCCTGGTCTATAGAATGCCTAAGGGTAATGAAAATGCTCTTTCCATCACTATTCTGGGGCATTTTGAGCAAACAAAATAAGAAAAAAAGAAAAACAAAGGCCTGGGGCTTCAAAAATGGTCCCAGGGACACATGGTGCTCAAATGTTTCCCACCCTTGTTCTAGATCTTGTGTCAAAGATGAGGCAACATCTACATGAAGGAAAAGCTACAGATCTTTGATAAATCATGGATAATGACTGGTAATGAATTGGGGTGAATTGTTAAAATTAGCACCCTTTGCGTACTACGTAATTTCTACTGCATGCTTACTAACTTTATGCTAGAGTGTCACTGAGTCTGTTTTGGTGTCTCTATGGAGCTTTCCACACAGTCCTATATTCCAGAATATCAAGGCAGAAAATTCCACGTTATCTGAGTGTAGACTCTGATAACTCAGTTGAAAGCACATATTGTAGGATTTTCTGTGATATAGGGCTATGTGCAAGGTCCCTAAGGCACCAGAGCATCCCTATGCCATGATTCATCCCAAGATTAAGAATGCATAAAATCAGGAGGCCTAGCCTGAGAAAAGACTGATAGCACAAGCCAGCTAGGACTGGAACAGGATTGTTGTAGACTATACATGAACTGAAGGAGTTGGGTTTCTGGGGGGACACTGGACGAGTTGTTTGCCCATGTTTTCTTTAGCTGTCGAGTAGTAACCTAGCATTAAAGACTTCTCTTGTAAGTGCCTTGACTGCTGATATGGTTTAGTCATCCATACCTAGATGCTCTTTTTGCATCAATTTTCTTCTTTCCCTTTCCCTTCCATTGAATCATACATTGGTTATGAACAATAATTATAAGTAAATCTACTTTAATAAGTTTTACAAAGATTAAGCTTTTCTGTCTTAGACCCTGTTTGCTTAGGTGGGTGTGGGACAAGTTGTTCAGCTTTTGCTTTGTAAATTTGATTTCTTTGCTTGAAAGATCCACTATATCTCAAATTTATCAACACAAACAAGGATGTAAAAACATCATCAGTTCCTCACTATTAGGTGTACCACTGAGCAATATTGAGATATCCTCTATTCCTCTTCACAAAAGAAAGAATTGGGAAACTGTCTTTGAGTATTCCTTGCCTAAGAAAGCCCCATGAAAAATTCATAACGACAGGCAATTTGAAGGCACATAGGCAGACACATTCCTCTTTTGCACCACTAATCCATAGATCCTTTATCATTGCTTTGTTGTTCATCCCTTCATGGCCGGGGATAGATTAGAGGGCCCTTGTGGCCTATGATTCTATGATCATTCATTTTGAAGCTCACTCCTATTTGTGTACTGCATTATAAAACAATAAATCCTAGGTTGGTCTTGAATGGTGGGGTGTGGAAAATGCTTCCTAGGATTTGAAAAAGAAATTGAACAATGGACATATGCAGTTCAACTGATCCAGAAAAATTGAAATACCAGACATGCCTTAGACCAAAAACTAAGGTTATATTTTTGAATGTTCTGATGGAAATTCAAAAACTTTAATCTAAAGAAAGTTTATTTTATTTACAGCACAATCCTATAAATGACTACCTAGAAGTAAGCCCCAGGGAGTTCAAGTACCAGGTAAGTAGCTATAGGACTGTAGTTTTAGGAGACTAACAGCCCAATTGATTTAAGAATGACTGACTAATTTGTCTACTGATTTTAATAAACTAATTTCATCTGGACTGAAGTTTGCAATACAGTATATCCAACAATCGCTGCATATCAGTGTTTCTCATTGCTCATTTTTATATAAACAATGAATTGAAAACAAAACCCTTAGGGAGAAAACCTGAACTGTCAGAGTAAATGAGCAATCGTAGTTTCTAGCCACTTGCTGACTGCAGTTCTATGTTGTTTATGGAGGCCTCTCCTCCATTATTCAATAATGTTGTTAAATGAAAGTTCACCTTGTTTTGCTGTGCAAATCTGGTCTAAAATAGAATTGAATCTGCATTGTTCAGGGATTGCTAAATGGTAATTCAGAAGGCTTATGAGTGTGATGGGGTTACAGAACAAGGCAACACAAAAAGCAAGTTTGAGTTGCATGTAAAAATCAGGAGAAACCTTACCCCCACCCCAGTCTCCCCAAACAGCAATGGTGGACCTCTTGAGATCTAACAAGCTCAATTTCTTTTTCAACGGTTGATTATTTCAATCATTTTTGCATGGTGTGCAAGTCTAATATATCTAATAAATGCACACAAATGGAAATTCTTGATCATGAAAACTTGAAAATGTTACTTGAAGTAGCATGAGACAAGTCAGAATATGGTCATATATTTTAGCATTTACAGATCTGATTGAATTGTACATGAATTGGGACTTAAGGCCCTTCCACAGAGCCATATAACTCAGAATATCAAGACAGAATAACTCACAATATCTATTTTGATCTGGGTTATCTGAGTCCATACTGCCATATATCCCAGTTCAAAGCAGATAATGGGGGATTTTATTCAGCTGTGTGGAAGGGACCTTAGTTAAGATCACTGACCTGCATCAATATCATGTTATTTGGTAACATTAGGGATGTTTAGACTTTGCCTAAAGAGCTTTGGAGCCAGCAAGCAAGTTTATAACACAAACCAACAAACAAAAGACAAATCTACTCTACTATTCCATGTAATATTCCTGTTGGGGAGTATTACATTTCATTTTGGTCTGAGATAGAGCGACCCACCCCCTAAAAGAATTAAGAACACACTCAATCCCATTCAAGTAACTTGCTAAGCAAACAAAAGCATACAGTGAAGTTCTCTGGTAGCTCTTGGAAAACATACACCTTAGAATGGGATTTTTGAGCTTGTAGAAAATAAAATGATTATAAATCTGTTCATGACATTTGTGCCCCCTAATTCTTTGATTTTTCCACTCTGGTCTTTCAGGCCACATTTACAAGGCTTTTCACAGCTCGGTGTCTGCAACGACGTGTGGCTTGGTTGAGTGTCCATTTTTGGATGCTGGCTGCCCAGTCCCATTTTCCCGAGCCCCTCCATTGAGATTTGGCTTATCCTGCAGGTCACACTGTTCATGAGAAGCCACAGAGATTGCAGGGGTGCCATGGCTGCCATTTTCTGTGTAATATGGGTCTTCGCCCTAAAGGAAAAGGACATAAATAATAACAAAGTACAGAGTTAGACAAGATATCTAATGGGAAGCATTTTGGTTTAGAACTTACAGAGAACAGGAACATTTATCCTTTCAATAGAAAGATTAAAATTCTGGCTATTATGCCATGGACTGAAAAAAATTGTAAATATAATATCAAACAAAGCAGGGTTTGGACCAAGAATTTCATATCAATATACGAAGTATAGGCAGTTCCTGAATTACAAACATCTGACTTACAAATGACTCCTAGTGCCCTTCTACACTGCCATATAAAATCCAGATTATCCAATTTGAACTGGATTAGATGGTAGTGCAGACTTATATCCAGTTCAAAGAAGATAATCTGGATTATCTGCCTTGATTATTGGGATTATATGGTGGTGTAGAAGGGAGCATAGTTACAAACGGGAATGAGACAACAGGAAGTGAGAAAAATCTACCCTTAGGAAAGGAAATTCACTCCTGGAAGAGTTATCATGGGGGAAATGTGTCTCCACTGAAGCTTTATCACCTATCCTTGTTTCCAGTTATCACAGGGACAGGAAATGAGGCAAAATCTTCTGAACAAGAGCACAGAAAGCAAAACAAACACCACAGGGGTATTAACCCTACCCTTTGCTATCAAAAGCTAAGGGTCTCTCTCTCTCTCTCTCTGTATGTGTATTTGGCTGGAGTTACACTTTAAAAATATACTTGTTCTGATTTACATATATTTCGATTGTTCCAATTTACATATTTACATCTTGTTTGTAAAGTGGGGATTACCTGTAATAGGCTTAGACCATAGGAAACTGCCTTATTTATCTGCTCATCACACTCACTGTCTACTGTGCTGAACAAATGCATAAGGCAGCGTCCCATGGTCTAAGCTGTGAGCAGTGGAAGATCTCCAAGAGATCTTTATCCATCAGCCAATCCTATTAAACTAGAGACAACAACACTGAAACTTGGACTATCTACATGCAAAACACGTACTTTAAGAACTGAGCTATGCTCTCTCCCCTTGGACTGTCTGGCTTTGAATCTTTCTCCTATGACATGCTTTATGTATAAACCTATATGCATCTATGTTTGCTTACCACAGGGACTGATACTATTCTTTCACTTCCTTTAAAGGAAGGATATATCAGTTTTCTCAAGGTTCCCAAATTCTATTTAAGCTTCATTTGAGGCTTTCAAGGAATTTAAAACATCAGAGGACAATAGGGTGTCGTCTCGCTTCTGGAAATGTATTTGCTCCATACTGTCACCATTTATATATGGAATGAGAAAAGTGGTGAATCCCTTGGAGTCTACCCCCAGTGTTGTAGCCCAAATAAAGCACATCGTTATAATTTGAGAAATGGCCATTTCCTAATTATACTTGTGGTCATAATGGTATACAAGTAATTAATGGTATATAGAAAGTGCTTTGATTCCAGGTAAATGGAAATATTATCTCTATAATGAGTGTAGGGGACTTACTCAGTATAAAAATATTTTATCCGCAAATATAGAAGGCCTGAGAACAAACTTTAAAAAAAACCAGACAGTGTTAGAAGCTCTTCCGCATTGACGATATTATTTCTCAAGAAAGAGATAATTTCAGGCAGGCCTTTGTTCATGCATTGGGTTCATGTTCTGAACAACTCAAGCTTTTCACTCACTATCCAACAGTGTGAAAGAAATGAAAGAAACTCAATTACTGTCCTATCTCCGTGGGAGGGCTTTTTGTTGTTGTTGATGAAAGTTAAAGGGCAAACTCAGCAGGGATTTCAAAAATGTCTTGGGGAAGGGAACAGAAGTAAAAAATCAGCAGGTGGGAAACGAATGAAGTGCCCACCCACTCTCCCCTGAAACTTCCCCACTCTGTATTGCTTGTTCTGGAAAATCCTTTGACTCAAAAGAGAGAGCCTTCAGGGTAATGTGTAGCTAAGCCCTTAATCTTCTGGGTTTGTGAGAAATATTTGTACATATAGAACTATTAAATTGTAACAACAATTGGAATCCCTACTGGATCTAACTGAAAACATGGCAAGTTTGACATTTCAGAAAGGTGCAAGCAAACAAAAATGGCGAAATAAACAAAAAGTCTACTAAGGAAAATAATGTTTTTTTCCCTTCACTTCCTTTATTATTAAATCTGTCTAAATCACAGCATTTTCTACAGCAGAAATGCAAAGTGAGCGTACAAGCTTAATTTAAAACATAATGCAGTGGGAGAAATGTGACCCCTTCAAGAGGAGTATTTAGGATTTATACATTATTTTACTAAGTCTGGACCTTCATTGCCGTATAATCCATATTACTTCAAAGCAGATAATCACATTATCCACATTGGTCTGGATTATATGAGGCCCCTTCTATACTGCCATAGAAAATCCAGATTATCTGCTTTGAACTGGGTTATATGGCAGTGTAGACTCATAATCCAGTTCAAAGTAGATCATGTGGATTACCTGCTTTGATAATCTAAATTATATAGCAGTGTAGATGGGGCCTAAGTAAAAAGGATTGAAACTGGAAATAGTAGTGACATATTTTCTTTAAAAGAACTATCTGTGTGAGCTTTTACACTGTGGAATTAATGCATTTTGGCTTTAATTGCCATGATTTAATGCCATGGAATCCTGGGATTTGTAGTTTGATGAAGCATCGACTTTCTTTGGCAGAGAAAGCTAAAAGCCTTGGAAAATTACAACTCTATAGCATTGAGTCATGCCAGTTAAAGTGGTGTTAAAGTGCATTAATTCTACAGTGTGGATGCTCCTAACCTGAAGAGAAAAAAAGAGAATTTCATCTCAGTCATTCCCCAACTAAGATTTAGCGTGGTTTCCCTTAAGACAGTCATAAATTCTTCAAACTGTCTGGCTTAACAAGATGCATGCATAAGCAATCTTATGAAACATATGAATACCCAGGTCTTTCTCCCCTCCGTCTGTTTCTCCTGAAGTCCACTAACATACATTGTATTTGGAAGGATTAGATAATCAGGGATTTCTATAAAGTTTCTGTCATTCTTTCTTTCCCATTCTTATCAGGTTCAGGGATCTTCACTTGTTTTGCACTGACCAGCCTCTCTCCCATGGGGCTCCAGCTCCGTCGTTTCATAAGGTGGTATCCAGCCAATCCCAGAAATGCCAGCAACAGACCAGACGTGACCAAGGCAATAAGTGTCTTCCGAGAATAGTCCTTGTGACTTTCAATGTCCTCTTGTTTATGGGTTGTTATCCCTACCTGGAAAAATACAAATCTGAGCCAAAACATTCTTAAACAGGAAACACAGTACATTTGTAGAGACTTCTGTTTACACCTCAAACACTTAATTTAGTTTCTTTTTCCAATTTAATTTGAGAAGAATGGGTGGGAAAGGAGGTAGAAAAAATATGGATGATATTTCTAGATGCAAAATTTAAACTCTGCTTTATAGTCATATCTTAAATCATGCAATTTCCTCCATTTTCCAGATCCCTTTCTTGGGAAAGGAGTTGATAAGTTGAAGAGAGGGGCAGTAGATGAGAAAGGACTTGCACTTAAATCATATGCATCTCTCACTAATTAAGATTTTCATTGTTGGTCTGGAGACAGCTCTGGAGAACAGGATTCAGTTTCCCGCTTGGTCATGAAAACACTTTGGATGAACTTGGGCAAGTTGCACCTTTTTAGCCTCAGAAAAACACCCATTATAGGGCTATTATAAATCAGAAATGACTCAAAGACATACAAGAACAAATATTATTTGAGGGTGTCTGCTGGGACTTTGAGTGGGGGCTGCATAAACTCTGTGGACAGCATTTTCCCTATTCTCAATTTACATTCTCCATTTCTCAATGCACTTGGCCTGACAACAGCATTCTCTAACAGAGCAATCTAAATGAAGTGATAACTCCCAGGATTACATAGGAAGGACCCATTTCAGTTGCTCTATCAGAATGCTAAAAATGTGTAGTGTGAGGGAAGTTTAAGTGTTAATAGGACAGACTTATTTTGAAAGACACAGGTCACAAATATATGGAAATATGGGGCAAAATGAATGAGATACTGGAGATCCATGCTTAGACTGAAACTCTGCAGTAGTACTTAATCCCTTTGCCTTGTATCAATTTCTGATGAAAATTGGCCTCCTGAAACTGCATTTGCCCAGTTAAAGATTTTCCCTGATGCGAGGAAGGGCTACTTGTAGATTTTTTTTTTTTTACAAATATAAAAAAGACTGAATATAGGTCTCCAATGTCTAATTTGGTTTTAAGAGCAGTAATGGAAACCGAGAAAATCAGGGTCCATCTACAGAGCTAAGTAATGGTGTGGCATCTCTTCTCTTTGGGGCAAATTTCAGTTTTGAACATGGAGTCTTGTAAGAGCCTTTCCTCATAATCTGCCAGAATCAGTATGATTCATTTTGTACAGTATTTTTTTTTTAAATCCCATCTCTCTTTTGGAATTGATAACTTCCCCTGTAAAATTGACACCCTTGTGCGTAAAAGACCCTTAGGACTCACACCCTGTCATTTCCTACATCACACCCACTTTTTAATGATCCCCAACAGTTTCTTTTCACCCCAAGAAGAGCTCTGCTTCTCTGAGATTTACTGCATGACAGCCTAAATAGCCAGGGGCACATTTAGCTTTTCAGTGCTATTTTTACAGGTGCCTGGAGTCCAGCTTTACAAGCAGAGAGCTGCAGCACTGGAGAGCAGGAAGGAGTAATTAATTAATGTATTATCATGCTTTGAAGATGTAAAGTGCCAAAAAAGTGATGTGAATTACGACTGGGGACCCTTATTACAAGTGCTGTACTACAGGCCTAGCAACATAATTGGCCAATCCTCTACAGCATACTCTACTATACTTTGAAAATACTTTGAAAATTCTTTTGGATTTCAGAAGTGATATCATAATACTATAGTATAGCCATTTGGAGATATGTATATATAAGAGATGTAAAAGAGATGTAAAAAATTGCGCTCCTTGTCCTTCCCTCTCAAACTCCCAAACTCTTTCACACAAACTCTATATTGTGTACGTAAATTATATGTGGGTATGTCACTTCTTGTGTATGAAAGATGGGGAAAGTAGTGAGAAAATGGGCATGTTTTCAGATGGTTTTCTCAGAATATGTAAATTACTTAGCATTTTTAAAAAGTACTATCAGAATCAATGTCTCAGAATTAACCACAGGTTTACAGTAATTGGGGTGTTGTAGCTGAGTGCTGAGACTGTTGCATATAAGTTTATAGTAACTATGTGTTGATTTGATGAGGGTTGGTGTATTGAGATTGGTGGATGAAGGTAAGAGGGGGAAAAAAGAGATTGTAAATACTCTGTAAGGGTTTTTATACTATTTCTGCAACTTAAGAAAGAAAGGTCTTCCGTTAGAACAAACAGCTTTGTGTCTCTGTGTTGCTTTGGTTCCTGAGAAGACCACTTCACTATAAGGAGGTGTTTGGCTCCCTACCATGAGTGGAGAGTCCCTTCTGTATACAACAGGGAATTTCACACTGATTTGAACCCCTGATAGTTTTGAATGTCCAGCATGTGAGTGAAGCAGAAATAAGCTGATGTTCAAGTATCTCTAAATTGTTACCTCTTGCAAATCATGCCTCTTCATTGCAATAACAGTATCCAGTGCATCTGTGCCTGCAATTTTCAAAACAACCAGAAGATGGAATAATTAAACAACAAAACTAGTGTTAACTTGTTGTGTTTCTTTGTTATATATTAGAGCACAAACTGAAAGATAATACCAGGGCATCAAGAATTGTCCTATCTTTTCTAACTGAAACATCTTCATACCTGATCTTTTTTTCATACAGAAGACTAGCTTTTGTATTAGAAACGGCTGTTCTGGGAAAACGAAAACAAATGATGCAAAAGCTGCTTTAAGCCGCATGTTTGGACAGGGCAATAGCCTCCCCTCCCCAGTGGGCCATAGAAAATTCATCAAGATACATATAAGGAGAAACAACTGGAAGGGACTACACAGAGAGAAGAACTTTCTTTCTCATAACATTCACAGATCTCAGTCAATATTGACAAATATTGGGATGCTCATTTTCCTGTAATATTGGTTGGGAAACAAACATGAATGACCACTTCATCATATTCATTAAATTCTACTGAGCCACCCACCCAATCTATTGTATTCATCACATGGCATAGGTTTCAAATGTTGGGTAGAGAGATGTGTTTTTAAGTGTTTTAAAGAGTTATCTTCTAAGCTGGTTGGCAAGTGACTTTTTTTTTGTAAATCATTCACATGGAGATGAACAAAATGTGATGAATCCCCCCTGTTCTCCGCTTTAAAATGAAACAGCTGATGCAATTTGTGAGAGGAGCTGAAATGTCCTTTTGAGAAAAAGCTCTGCCATTACATTTTGATCATGTTTTGCTCAAAGAGGGATGGGGGGAGAGGGAGGATGGATAGCTGACCTGATGGTGGAAGGAAGGGAGGCCATTGGCTTCATCTCCTGGAGAGAAAATCTCATTTCCTTTTCCTTTCTTTTCTTCTTCCTCCTTCCCTGCCTTCTTTTCCCCRTTCTRRRCCCCTTCTCRTTCGTTCTCTTCTTTCTCCTTCCRTTCCTTCTTTCCCCCTATCTTATCTTTTTGCTCATTTCCTTTAATTCCCTCTACTCTCRCCTTTCTTCTTTCCTTGTCCTCTTTCCACTCTCCTTCCCCCTTCCTTTCCTTCTTCCCCCTTCCTTTTCATTCTCATGCCCAATCTTTCCATCCTTTCTCCTCGCTTCTTTCTCCTTTRCTTTCCTCCTTTTCCCATTCTTCCTCATTTTCCTCCTTTCTTTCCACCCTCRTTCCCTTCCTTCTCATTCCCTTCCTTCCTCTTCCATRTCATCTCTTAGTCTTGGATTCTGTTAAAAAATGAATTGTAGAATCTATGATATCTTTATATGTATTATTTAGATAGTAGACTGTGACCCCTTAATGGAAATATATTATCAGATAAATGATTATAGAACATTAATAGATAGAAAGTATTGCACTGTATGCAACAAACACTTGCAAATGTATGTCTACTTAAATAAAATAAAAAATAATTWAAAATGAATTGTATGCTTTTTGCAGTTATGGTTGATGCTTAATGTGTTGTGCTTGATGATATTAACAGGGGGAATTTCTCATCATGTCACACTTGAACATCCAGTCCTTCTCATTGCTCAGGCTTTGGGATATTTCTGAACTAACAATCCTAAACAGCATTCATTATAGTCTAAATTGTCTTGGCATCCTCTTTCCCAGAGTCATTCCCCATCTGCATGGCTGGCTCCTATTAAACAGAACATGCTGCTGTATTGAAGCAGAATGGAAAGGCAGCTTCATATTTTACTAAGAGCTTCAAGAATGGCAGCTGGTAGTTGAAAGGAAGAAAACTCTCAGCAAAAAATTCTATGCAGGTACAATGGAGAGATGTCTGACTATTGTTCCCTTTGATAGCTTCAGCTATTTCCCTTTCTACAGACATCTACTCAGCATGCATGAGCATGCAGATACACCTCCATCCTGACCAACCACTTCAAACATCAACCACTCAAACTGCATAAACCACTCACTCTTAACTACACGGCTGATGCAATTTGTGCAAAAACCTAGGATCCTAACAAAGAAACAACACACCTTATTCCTTGAAAACATTATACAAATTGGTTTGACTGACCTTTATCATTAACACCAACCAAAAGTATGCACCTGCTATTCAGAGCAGATTTTGTCAGTTTGATGTGGCATGTATCATTTGCTGCACAAAGCACCTTTCCCAGGTGTTCTCTTTTCTGGTTTATAAACTGTTCCTGCAAGAATGGAGGGGGAAAGGTTAAAGAAAATTTTTACAGCTCTAATTCATTATCTTTGTATTAGTAAACTGACTAGGAACGGCTTTCACCACAATACTTCCTTACAACTGTCAGATGCTTGTCTGCTTCATGCCCAGAGAGTTACAATGTGTGTAGGGATCCATTATAATGTCGAAAAGTTTCCCAAGAAATGAAAGAACCAGAAGAATTGTTTAATAATAATAATAATCATCATCATCATCATCATCATCATCATCATCATCATCATCTTTATTTGTTTACTGTCCTATCTCCCCAAAGGGAGTAAGGGCAGTTTCCAATATGTAAGGCAAGCATTCAAGTGCTGGAAAGAAACCATACAGACAATTGCATCAAGATAAGCACATTTGACAATATAACACAATCTAATTAAACTTAACAGATAAAATAAACAGTAACTGAAAACATCATACAAAAAACAAAAAAATCAATTAAAATACACAAAAGATAAAAATATTAAAAATCCATTTCATTGTAGCTCCGTCAGTAGAGGTTCAACAAAACCCATAGCTAGGGTTACCAATGGACGTGGCCAACTATAAGAGGGCTGGGCATGAGATAGTGCAAATAGCAAGCTGGCATGATCCTGGCTATGACTGCTAGAAACATGATTTCAATGGAATTAAGCGTGCAAAGGAGAGTTGCATAATTTTGCATTCTTGTTGTGTGTTACAACGTATATAACAAATAGGGGGGAACCACTTGGTCTTAGGGGAGACTATGCACTAGATTGGGGTGGCAACTATAGTCCTCCAGATATTTTCTAATTACAAAACCTATAAAACCACACTATTGAGTATGTGGTGTATGGATGAGGGGAATTCTCAGCCCAAAACATTTGGAGGGTCACATCTACATATCACTTCTTTAGAATCTGCTTTAACTGTGTCAGTTTAAGCTTTCATTTGCCTACTTATAGCTTTAGTGGATGTACTGGATCAAGGGCCCAGTTACTGAAAAAATAAATGCTTAAATAAGGAAACATTCATCAGCTAATTAATGTCCCTATATCAATAGCAGTGTTTTTTTTAAAAAAGAAATGGGGTGAAATTTTCTTAGCTGTGTCCTCTTTAAGAAGTGAAGAGTGAAACAAGCCGAAGCAATTCTTTGCTTTGCCATTATAAGCACTGTCTCCTTTTTCATTGTCACTGGGAAGGAAATGAGGGAAATAACAAACAAACACTTGGCCTCTTCATAGTAGGAAATGCCTTGAGTATTTCTGACTATTCTTTCAGTGCACGTTTCGCAAGGGATAAAATCTTCCCACACACAAATAAAATCATCCCTTTGCTCCCAACAGTTGTGACTTTTGGGTAGGAGGAAATGGGAGAGAAAGTTGGGACATTGCAGCTTTTTCCTCCTTTTGGTCAGAGAACAAAGCTACTAGAATTCAGTCTATACAATTCCTGTTGATTGGGGTCAGGGCCAGATTTTGGTAAAAAAACAAACACCCCTAAATATATAATAGAATATTCAAAAGTCCACAGCACTTTGCTATAGAATGGAATGATGACATGAAAGGCAGAGTTTGTATATCTAATATTATCAATCGAAGAGTACCAGTGGTTTGAACATTGGGGGGTTGACTGGAGACTAGCAGTCAACTCCCCTGTTTAAAGAGCTCCATTGGCTGCCGTTTATTTTCCGGTTCCAATTCAAAGTACAGGTCATTACCTATAAAGCCCTAAATGGTTTGAGACTCACCTATCTTCGTGATTGTGACTGTATCTCTCTCCATGAACCTGCCTGATCCCTCAGATCCTTGGGGGAGGCTCTTCTCTCACACCTACCGCTATCTCAGGCCTGCCTTATGGGAACAAGGGAGAGAGCCTTTTTCTCAGTGGCTCCCCGACTATGGAATACATTGCCCTGTGAGATTAACCAAGTCCCTATTTTAGAAAGCTTTAAGAAGAATCTCAAAACCTGGCTTTTCCGCTGTGCTTTTGGAGATTAATCATATAATCTCATATTTGCTGTTATCCCTCAACATCTGTCTTTAGTGCATACCCCCTTCCCTTCTGTATGAAGGCTCCTTTTGACCCCATTCCGGAAGAGTTTCTCCCCCACAAATAACCTGATCCATTGTTATCTCACCCTGTGTTCTTAGCCATGTTTTTAGCCTTAGTATTTTATTCCGTACATGCGGCCCGCTCACTGTTTAATGCTATGAATGATTGTATTGTAATTTTATTTTGTTTGGTGTGTTTTTATATTTTATGTAATTTATCATGCTGTTGTTTGTGTTCTGATTTTATTTATTGTATTGCATTGTTGGGCTTGGTCTCATGTAAACCGCCCTGAGTCCCCACTGGGGAGATGGTGGCGGGGTATAAATAAAGTTTATTATTATTTATTATAGAGTTCAAATCGTTGCTCAGCCATGGAAATCTCTTGGGTAAACTTCAATGTCATATTCTTTCAGCCTCAGAGAAAGGAAGAAGCAAATCCCTCTGAACAAATCTTATCAATAAATCACCATAATAGGTTTACCTTGGGGTCACCATAATTCAGGAATCTGAAGCTACACAATAACAGTATTATCAGTAAGATGCAGAGGAGCTTTCCTGTGTGTGTCCATGGCAATTAGTTGGAGCTATTGCTGATCAAACATTTAAGATAATACCTACACATTGCTTTGGCAAAAACTGCAATTTTCAGTTAGTATAATTATTATAGTTTTAATTGGTTTTAGGTTATTTTTTATTATGTAACATTAAATGTTTTAATTAATATGTATGTATATATGTATGTATGTATGTATGTATGTATGTATGTATGTATGTTGTGGCATCTAATTGTTGCCAATCTGTACGCCGCCCTGAGTTGCCTGAGGGCTGAAAAGAGTGAGATAAAAATGTTGTAAATAAATAAATAAACCGCCAGAGTTTTAAGATCTGCAAGAGAAGGCTTTTTATCAATCTCACCTTCATCACAGGCACATTTGGTGAGAACCCAGGAAAAAGCCTTCTTGGTGGCTATTCCCAAACTGTGGACTTCCTTTCATGGAGGTTCAGCTGGCCCCTCTTTCTTCTACTTTCATTGGCTAGCTAAGACATTTCTATTGAGGAAAGCCTTTAATTTATGTGACAGAAAGAGTTATTAAGGGAGTTGTACTTTTATCTTTTTTATTATGTCTAGCCTGTATTTTATATTGTTTTAATCTTGGGTTCTTAACTGAAGTGTTGTTTAATTGGTTTTTAAACTGTATAAATATTTTCAAGAAAGAAAGAAAGAAGTCTCCATGTTGTGTGGGTGTTTTTTGGATTCCTTCAGAAAGTCTTTGTTCCTAAATGAATATTACATCTGAAATGATCTGTTGATTAAGAAAGTTCCCTGGAATCTTTGTAGCCAATTCCTCAAAAGGAATTGTCCCAAGGAAAACAGATTAAGAACAGATTTGTAATATCAAGGGAACTACATAGTTTTATTATAACAAAATTCAGTGTTATGTACAATGAATATCCCAATTTGTGCCATTGTGAAAATGTAAAAAAAGAGAGGTTTTTTTAAAAAAATGATGTACATTTTAACTGGAAAAAACCCCAGATCTGATTATGTATGAAGCAAGCTATTTTACTAGATCTCTTTCTCTCTCTTTCTCTGTCTCTATGTCTGCATATGTATCTATCTTGTGAGAGAGCAGAGAAGCAGGCAGAAGATTGTAGCCAATGTAGGCTGAGAAACGGCGGTATACAAGCGCAGTAATAAATAAATAAATAAATAAGTTTGGAAAAAGCCCATGGAAATTGTGTGTTTCTATGTAAGTCCAGAACACTGAGCTTAGTATTCCAAGGTTGTATTCAATACACTGCTTGTTGACCCCAAAGTTCAGTCCTTTCTCCTCAATCAAGTCTACAAACTATCAAAGTCACAGGTTGTTCCTTAGTATATGGACACAGTGGGACTTGCTATCCACCTGTTTTATAAATAATTGCTTCTAAACCTGATTGTTTCCTGTCCCCTTAGAACTAGACCCCTGCAGATTTTGACCATACACCTACTTTGATTCTGATTGGATTAGTAATCACATTTAATTATTTGGTTTTAATGTAAATGTTTATTTTAACTGTATGTTGTCTTTATGTCATTGAATTGTTCATTATCACATGACCACAAATTCAATCTTCATATACACAAAGCAGAATTGAGGCAAAAGTGTATGTCATTCTACCTCAGACTACAGTAGTGAGCAGGGAATGATTTTGGAAAGGAAAATTTCCTCATGTTATAAAATAATGAACACCTATATTTAAGTGAGGAATCAAACCACTAGTAGATCAAGGAGAAATGTTGTAGTCCTGTTTTCTCTGTGCATTTGTTTTCTAATTGCAGTGAGATAGGCAAAGAATTTCCAGACATCATGCAATTCAAAGATATTTGATAGCTGAGTTCACTAAAACTACAACTGGATCTGAAAAGTCTTGATGTGATGACATAACTAACTAAAAAAATCAACTATTCAAAACATGGAATGTTATTTACCACAAAAATATGCCTGGGAAAATAGAATGTACAAAATAAAAATCTAATCAAATATTTCCGTAGACATTAGTTTGGTTGACTGAAACAAAAACACCCTGAAGTAGATTTCCCTTTGCTGTGGAAAGAACTCTTCAGAGAATGTCAGAGTTTCCTTTGTACTGAACAGAGATATAAAACATTTTACTGGAAAAGGCCAACAGGAAAATCGAGAAGAGATTCTGTCCTTTTTGTCTGCTCACAACACAGACACAATTATCAGTTCTCTTAAAAGGAAGATCTTAGGCACAATGAACAGCAGTTTGTTTTCCTCACATCAAGATCAGTGAAGAGAGATGTTTGCAACTCTCATTGATTTACAGTAAATATTTTAATTATTAAGATAGTTCGGGTCAATAAAGCATGATGATACCCTTTCAGTTTATGCCAGTGTGGTATAGTGTTGGACTAGGACACTGGAGACATTGCTCAGGCATGAAAACTAGCCTGAAGACAGCCTCTCTTGAGGGTAATAATAACATCCTACACAAAGCTTAATTAATGTATTGTTTTGTCAGCATTAAGAGTTTTCTTCTCAGCTTAGATCAGATCTCCAGCCAATCACTGCATTTATATCTCACTTTTCTTTAATCCTCTCCCTATTCAGGAGCCCAATAGGTTTAAATATGAAGGCATACATTATGGAAAATAAAGGAAGGGGGGGGGGGGGAATCTTTCCTGAAACCATGAAGCAATTTCAGAAGACCATCCAATTCTCTTTTCTTTTCCAAATATCATCAGGCCTATAGAATCAAAGAATTATAGTTGGAGAGGGCCTAAAGACCATCTAGCTCAATTCCTTGCCATGCAGGAATATATGAAGGACTCCTGACCTATGAACATCCACCTCTGTTAAAAAACCTCCAGAGAAGGAGCCTCCACCACATTCCATGGTAGAATACTCTACAGTACAACTTCTTAAGCTTTTTCCATTTGCAATTCCTTTCTACCCAATAAATAGTTATGTGAGCCCAGGAATATAGGCATACAAAATAAGTATAAAACCAAACATTTACTGATAATAAATCAGCATTAGCAAGGTTTGCTAAGCAGGCTGATTTCCCCGTTTTATGAAACCCAGCTGAAGCATTTCCTGCTTAGCCCACTGTAAACACTGCACATTGTTGTTGACAGATTCATGCAATGTCTAAACATCAGAAACTTTTTACTGTTGCC